CACCAGTCACCATTTAATACACGGGAATTCGTTGGCCGTTGGTATTTGAACACATGTCCTAACGAACACGGGCCCAACGTCCTACCAATCAGGCTATCCCGACAGAGAATATGCAAAACTATATGCTTTCAATTCAGTTTTGAAGCTCTAAGAAAGTAAATTATTAACTGTAGGTAATTTTTATGTTATAATAGATTTTATGGATTGCTAATTATTATTTTACAAAAAAACATTTTAAATGTAACGCGAGAGTTATTTTCTGAATCGTAAATACTCTAAGATATGAACTTTGAATTGAAAATTAGTATACATGCATATTTTTGAACAAAAACAATGTCATGAGGCGTTGGGACTAGGAAATTACTACAAACTAAGCTTGTTTACGTATAACATTGGTTATTTTAACATTACATCGAAGTATTTAACTTTAAATTTTGAAACAGATGATTGATGAACTTCGGTAAAATGTACAGTATGGATTTTACAGTATGGAAAAATGAATTTTACAATTCGGAATTTTTTGTTGCTTGTTAGTTTTGCAATTTTGTAGATTTGTAGTTTGAAGTTTTTTTTTCCTCACTCAGGAGATTTTAGCGCATGGGATAAAAATCAGCCTTCAAAAAGAAAAAAAAACTTAAAACAGAAACAAACAACGTTTAGTACGTAAGGGGTAGAACTTGAAATAATTTGAAATGTAAGAACAAATTTAAGATTATGAAGATAATAAAAACAAACCTACTGAAAAAATAAAATGGAATGTAATTCGATTAATAGTTCAATTTTCTCTTTTGTCAAAGTTTTAAGGTAAAAATTGTAATGGGATTTTCTGATATTGCGAATGATCTAACTAAGCTTTGCAGAAATTGTCCTTAGAATTTGAAACACATTAACGTTTGAAATATACTTTTTTAAAGTATTAAAAATATTTGCTCAACAATATTTTCAAGGAGCAAAATGTTTTAACAAACAATGAACAAAACATTTCAAGTTTTATGACGAATACTATAAAATTACATTTTGAACAGTTTAAACATTAATTTTGTATGGCGCCTTTGATTGTTGTCTTTTTCTTCCCGACAGCGTCAGTAAGTTACACACTGCGTAAGCAATATTCGGTTCTAGAAACCAAATATTTCACATTCAAGGTTATCGTGAAGTCCTGTATAATTACTTGTTGTTTTTTCCATGGTATTTACATTCTTCCTTGACAGCAAAAAAATTAAATACTTGGAATATAAACCACGAAACAAAATATTAAATTATACACTCCTAAAACACTGAAAATAGCAAAAGATATATCGATACAAAAAATATCAAATCTGTAATAATGATCATTTTTATCAATCTGAAATTCTTTATTTATTGTATCACTTGTCGTAGTTTGACTGCTGAATTACAATACTTCAAATTATCATCGTTCAGCTTTGAGACACTGCTGGTCACTTAGAAAGAAAAAGACATAAATGAAAAGATCTTAAAATTGTAAAAAATATCTCCAAGAAAAAAAAAGTATGGTCAAATATACCAGTTTGTGATTAAACTTTCCGTTTTTCTGACTTTATGAAAAAACCATTAAGGTCTGTAATTTTAACCGAAGTACTTTGTTAATGCTCTTTAGTAAAATTAACAATCAAATATGGTTTTGAAATATGTGGTAATAAAAATTATACTTTTGAAGACAAAAATAATTTTCGATAAACAATTACATTATGCACAGAAATGTTGCTTAATGAACGGCTTAAAATCCGTATTTTTTTGGTTTTATTACCCAACAGTTTTGTTTTTTTTTCATCAGAAATGCCATTGCCATATGCAGTACAGTAGTTTTACCAGAATGTTTTCTTTCTGTAAAAATGATAAGGAAGGATGAAGCAGTCATGAGATAAGCTTTATTAATTTTGGGTTTGAAAATTTTGAAATTAAGTTTGATTAGCGGAAATTAGGTAATTAATTCATAAATTCAGATAATGGATTTTAAACGCACATGAAATAGTTTCAAAGTTTGAATATCTTTGATGACGTGCAGATCGATTTTTTTGAACACGTATTTATTATTATCGTACACTGTAACAAATTCTAGATCAAATAACGGTAAAGAGTATCGGCCTTCAGGTTGCCTGTATTTTTTACCGTAAAATCAATTTTTACCAAAATATATGATAAGGAACGAAACGTATGATAAATCGTAGTTTTATAATTTTCACTTTAAACCAATAAATATAACTGTAAAAAATAGCGCATAAAGTTTTACTCTAAAAATTAGATTTAACGGTAAAATAAATTTTACGGATAGTGCACCCAAAGTACCGGTACCTTATACCGTAATATAATTGTTAATTTTCTACTGCTCAATAATGAGTATCATTGTTTTTCTGTCGTTATATGAAGGCAATTAATTTCTAACCATTAAGATTTATAATCATAACCGATAACTCAGCTATCCTCTGGAAATTTAATACTTTTTTAGAATCTCTTTGATAAACGCATAAAACTGCTATAAAAATGCAATAAAAAATTATATTAAATGATTAAGCACTGTTAGAAATTTTCCAGTAAAAATGGTTCAATAACAATTTACTTGTTATTTTACCATATTCAAACAAAATAGTCAAATAACCATAAGTAAGATAGTATTCAAACTGTGAGAGAAACCGTTCATTAACTTCCGCACCAACTAGGCCCACCTAATGCAGCGACGTAGTTCCTGAAAGCTGCACACATATTATAGCAGAGAGAATTACTCTGTGAATCTCAAGGCCGTCAGAACGGGGGTTCGATTCTCGGCAGTGAAGTCGCAATATTTCCTAACCAACCACTCAACCACTACCTAACTCCAATGCCCATTACCAAACGAAAAGCCGAGAGCCAATGTGAAGTTAAACTTCCTTTCTTACGTTTTTGAAACCATGGATAAAAAATCTCATAATTTTGCATTGATGGTTTCTTAACCATACTGGTTTTAAAGCCAATCGGTTCATTTTAAGTCATAGCATACAAGGCCGCTCATAATAGTTAACGTCAGTGGTGTTATGCTTGTTGACAGTATGAAGCTGCTAGAGTTGTTGTTGCGTCTAGAGTTTTTTTTCCAGGGAAGGTTCGCAAGTTATTAACTGTTTGCATGGTATATTAAATTCGTTAGAAATCAGTTTTACCTCATGGTTTATCAAAACCGTAAAGCGTCCTTTAAATTTTATGATTAATTGAATGGGCAACGTGGTGGCAATTGCTGAGTTAAGGACTTTGAGGGACATTGACTAGCAAGCTGTTGTTATATTTTATGCCCAGCTTTCTGGTAATAGTCTCCCTAGGCTGGTCGGTAGGGCACTGGGCCCATTTCCGAGATTTCGTGGGTTCGAACCCCGATGGCCGAAGACTCCCCGTGTAGTAAATGGTGACTGATGCACGCTAAATCTGTCGAGTCGCAAAGTCGCCCATGTTCCCATAACAAATCAATACCTCTGGGGGGTACTGGATTGGAGATCGATCGCTCTCTGATTCAGGTCAAAATTACGATCTGTGGGTGAATGAATGGATGTATGAATGGGTCCTCCCTATAAAACGGATGTGACGTATGGTGTGGCAGAAGTCGAATTCTTGGCCTTAGGGCCACTGGAAAACAAGAACAATCGCGCCCCTCTGCCTAAACAGGCATACGAAAGCAAGCAAGCGACAGACTGCTTGTGGTTATTTTACGGTAATTCTAGAATGAAAATTGTAACAGTAAGAAAAACATTTTAGTAGTTTAAAGTAGATAAGAATATATTGAATTTCTTGTACTTTTTCTGAATAGCAATAAGCTTAATACAAAATATAGGAACAACTAATATATTTTCGGTCCCACAACGATTTATGTTTTCAGTAATGTGCATAAATTACACTGCTTTATTTATTTATTTTTATTCGTGTGTATAATTTTAAAATGTTTGTCGAAATTCTAGAAAGTGCTAACTGCTCATACTCATCTCTACTATGATGTTATTTTTAATGAAAAAATAATGAAGAAGTCAACACTTTAAAATTAATTTCATTCAAATGAAAACAGAAACTAAACTTAGTTTTTAATGTATTATTATTAACATTACGTTATAAATACGTAATATTATTCGCAATTTTATAGTATTTTTATTAACATTTTTTTCTATTTAAATTTAATGAAAAAATAGTAATATTACTAGTGCTTCAATTTTTATTTCACAAAATGCTTACCATTCATGAGTCAAATTAAATATATTCATTACATTGCCTTTATAATTCTCAATTTAAATTAATAATTATAACAATCATTAAAGCAAAAAATATTTACCCCCTTCCCTTTTAATTATCGAATACATACAAATGTCAGTGTGTATTTGTTCATATCAATACAGTGAACAACTTTATGCTATTGACTTACATTTTTACATTCAATTTAATTTATAGTTTTTGAATATGCTGGTAAAATACAAACACTTGACTAATTCTACGTTCAAGTTGGGTATTTGCGTTCCATCTAAATGTACCGAAGAAGATGTGAGAAATATACTGAGCTCTGGTAACTACTTTTCTTTATTTCGTTGTTTATTTTATATCAGAAGCAATTTAAATACATTGTATATTTAAATTAATTCCACTTTCAATTTAAAAAATCTTACTATATTTAATCTGAAATTTGTTTAAATTAGTTTATACTTTTAAGAGCTGTATGAACTTAAAGGCATGAGCAAAATAGAACTTGCAAATTTTAATTATAATGTTATAACTATTGTATTTAATTAATTATTATAGTTTGAAGAGGTTTTAAAAGAGATGTTAGGGTTTACTAATTTTTAATGGGCACGACAAGGTTAGATAACTACTCTACCTTTTGCTTCATTATTTAAATTATCTGAATAAATTAATATACTATAATAAGTATTGCGAATTAACTGAAATGAACAATCTTTCAATTAGTGAAAAGGTTCCAACTGCTACCACAAAATTTAACGAACTGACAAGATAAAACTATGTAAAAAAATTTAATGCCAAAATACTTTTATGAAACAAGCTTTGAAACTAATTCTCCTACAAGAGCTTCGCATTCCATCACTAGTTAACTTGATTTGAAATATACTTTTAGTGTAAACTGTAAGTTTCCTCTCCGAGAGTCACGTACCCAATAGCGCATATTGGGGAAGAAATTTTGACTTCGGAAATCTTGTTAAGATATCGAAGTGAGAACTTTCGGTATCGGTCGAGTTTTCGAAGATTGCTTTATAGGGCCCACTAGTTTTACAACCAAATTTGGTGCTATATTGCTGGTTCTAATGAGAGTAGGACGATTCAAACTCGACAATCATTGATCATTAGCGAGTTAAGTCAGGAAAGTTCGCCTTTTGAGTGACAAGAGAGCACCGCAAGGATGAAAATACGTCTTGGCTCAAAACTCCACTAATAGATGGTAGCATTAGTCATTCGTGAGGCTACTTCTTCATTTCAGACATAGACCTGACCGGAAAAAAAATTTCTCCAGATCCCTGTACCCAAGGTTCTGTTCAGCGACCGACCACAGAACTTTCGCTTCTACCGATTTTACGAGTACGCATGTCACATGCACTCAGAATGTCTCAGCGGATCGGATCTTGAATCGGACCCATTGTCCTAACTACTGGACTACTTCGATTGTTAGATCGGGCTACAGGTGTATCTAAGTTAGTTCAATTTAAATATAAATACACTGCACTTTATTCCTTGATGTTTATTACATAAAAATTAGTGAAATAAAATTCTGATCATGTAAATTAACGTCAAAAAGCATGAAATAGTTTGTATTTATAAATTGTGATTGTGTAAAATGTGGTTGTTATACAATGTGAAAAAAGTACATTTTGAGAACAGAAACTCTACGACCAATTGGAAAGATTGAAGTCTCATATTGCGAAGTAAAAGAAGAAAAGGAAAAAACAAACGGGGAGCTCATTTTACTGTAAGTAATATTCTTAATAATATATTTATTTTTGTAGTTTATATAACTTTTATTAGAAAGTCTGTGTAG